AGGCTTGACAACCACTGATATGGGGAGAAGAACCACTGTACTAGGGTTCAGGAAATGGGCTGTACTATCTGTCCCCGAAAGCTCATATCTGTCTTCATTACCACTCTATCTCCAGCTGCTAGAACAAACCTTGGCATATGAGGACTCTCGATAAATATTTGTTGGCTGACGGATGAACATCTTATCTGCGCTACTTCCAGACTGATGTAACTATGGGGGAGCCACAGAGTCCCTTCAAGACCTTGACGTCTTTTCATTGTATGGGGGGAGGGTGTTAATATAGGGAACATTTACTACTGGACCAGTTGTTCCTTAAACTTTCCTCATCCCCATGGGGTAGGGCCTGGTATTAGCAGCCCCATTTTTCATATGAGGGAACTGAGGCATGCAGAGTTAAGTAATGTGCCCCAGGTTCATAGCAGATCACTAGCCCATGAACCCAGTTCGGCTCCACAGCTCACACTGTGCCCCACTATGGTATTTTACCTCTACTTAGAGGTGGGCAGCACATTATATCCCTGGTATCTGTTTCTATCACTGGATTTACATAGGAGTCGAAGAAGCTTCTAGAAGGTGGGGGGGACCTCTGAATCCTCACTACAACGGAGGCTGCAGAGTCGTGTCCAGTGGACTGTGGTGGACTCTGGGGTAGGCCAGCAGAAAATCCCCAGAGGGGAAAAGGATCCTTGTATGGGGTCCCAGAGACAGGCCCTGTAGGCTGGGAGGGTTCCAGAAGCAGCATGACGTGTGGTCCTAACCCCCGCTGGTGGAGCCACCCCAGCAACCGCAGGAGAAGAAAGGCCCGGGTTCAGCTCACAGGGTTGTTTCGTCCAGTTCCCTGACGCGGTGGGATTCAAGCAACTGCTGGAGAGTCCTCAGCTGAGGTTCGCGCAGAGCAGGGGGACGTCTGCCTTCCCACTTGAGAGAGAGTCTGTGAGCTGCCACAGGCCTACGGGGCCCAAGGACAGTGTGGCTGGAGTGAATGGGCAGGGGCTGCACCTCCGTGGGTGCAGAGCGCCACGTGCATCCACGCGGCAAGAGGCCCATGGCCGTGGGCCTGACTCGGGGGCACGGGAAACACCCCCTTGAGAACTCCCACAAGCGCCTGGGTGTGGGTTTCCGGAAGAACTGGGATGTCTGCATGAGCAGGCAGGAATGGGGAGCTAGCGGGAGTCCAGTATTAATGGGGGAGTGACCCCCCTCAGCTCCGTGCCTCTGGGCTTCGGGGGCAGACACGTGGGGGCCCTGGGCAGGGAGGCCTGTACCAAAAGCTTTGTCCGCCCCGTGGTAGCGAGGCCCAAATAAGAACAAGAAAATCGATGTGTTTTACAAACTGCAGAACACCATAAAATGAAATCGAAAGGGTGTAGAGGAAGGAGGCGAGATATGCCTAAACGATCCGGATAGATTATTACGGCATTCGCTGTCCTGCATCTTTATGGATCACAGACTCCTTTAAGAATCTATCAAAAGCTAAGAACTCTCAACCCAGCAAAACGCCCCTTCTCCCTTCCATAAACTACAAAGGATTTCTGCCTGCTCTAGGATGGTTTTTGTCCCCCCACCCTGAAGTCCTAGACCCCAGGTGAAGCACCCCGACTTCTTCCACAAGCACACCCAGCGCCCCTGGCACTTTCCTTTATGGAGTGAGTCCTCGTCACAGGTGACAGCGCTGTGTCTCTAACAGAGCCCTCACTTCCCATGTGGTTCGCTCATCTTTTAGCCACAGCTCTGGCTGGGATGCTCAGGGTCAACCTCTTGCCCGTGGTTGGCCGTGGCGTCCAGTGACATTTACTTAACAGCCTGTGTCCCGTCCGTGTCAGAATTAAGACATCAAAGGAAGTGTCAGCCTCCCTAGTACAGATGTGCTGACCTTCTAACTTCTATTGGAACGGCCGCCAGGAGAGCAGCCTGGTAGGGAAAGCACTGGGCCAGAAGGCAGGAGATTCTGGTCTCTGGTCTTGGACCAGTGGTATGAACTCGGGCGAAGCACTGAGACTGGGATCAGCTCCCTCATCTCTAAAGGGGGGTGACCATAGTTGCCTGGTCAAAGCGAATCATGCCTAAGAAAATGCCTTGCAGATGGGCAAGTGCTGTACAGATATGGTTATTATTGCTAAGGCAAGCCATACGGAAACCAATTATATTTTGGAATGTTATTTTATCCCCCCAGGCAGAGTCACAAGCCCAGGCCATGAACATCTTTTCCCAAGAAAGACTATCTGCCTTGATCTTTCTTCCTAAAAGGTCTGAAGCCCTGCTCGGTGTCACAGACTCGGTGTGTCGTCATCCCCACCCCTACCCCTGCCCCGACCCAGGTTTCCCCACTAGCAGCCATTCCTCAGGGGCTTGAAACAGACAAGTTCCATTTGACAAGCTCAGGCCCTTCTGGGAAGGAAATGATCACAGAAGGGGCCGGAAGTTTTCTGAATAACACATGCTTCCGATCTGGACCAGATCAGCTCTCTCAAGTCATTCAGCCTGTGCCCAGAGGGCGGACTTAGCGCTGCCCCAGGAGGGTTCGGAGGATGCAGCCAGCCTCCTGTAGCGCATGGAAGGGCATGAAGAGAGGCACTTCAGCATCCAGTGGCCCGGCAGCCCTGGGGGTGAGAGGGCCCTGCGAGTCAGCACCGTGCGCTAAGTTTACCCCCGCTGCCCCATGATGGTCCCAGCAGCCGGCAACAGGGCCCCCAATTGCCCTCTACTCTGAGTATCCAGGCAAGTAGAGCAAAACAGACTTAATCTTCTCTTGGCTTTTGCATGCAAGTAAAACCTTCGATTTTCAGTTCCTTACTTTCAAATAGTCAGTAATCCTTTGAGGATACCCCCCCCCAAAAAAATCCTAAAAATGGAATTTATACATAATAGAATTAGACACACCATAAGTCATCTAAATATCTCCAGAGTGAGAGGTATGAACCAAGAATTAATACCAAGAATGAACACTTCTTGTTCCTGTGAAGATTTTGGAGCACGATTTTTTTTCTTTAACAATGAAGAGTAAGAAACAAAAGCGCATACCATCCAGCAGGGTATCAAAGTGTATGGCCTGCAAGTATTCCTTCTCTCGCATGAAACCTTTGAGGGGAGTGGCCCAGCCTTCGCTCAAAACTTGGACCCACTGAAGATCCAGCTGCAAAACACAAAAGCAGGTGAACATTTCCATAAGCTCTGTTTCCCAGCCATCTGTCCCCAGGGCAGGCCTTTCTCATTGGCTGGCAGAGGAATGAAGGCAGAACCTTTCATGTGTTAAGTGTTCCATTTTGATGCCAACCACGCACGATTAAGGGGCCAGATAAGCTTGAGCTAGAACTTTCCTACCGGAGAGTGGTGATCTAAAAATTGAGGTGCAGAGAGCCTCATGATGGGCAACTGTGTTACATCTGCTGTTCATGCTTTCCTTTTTTTTTCCCCCTACAAAAATTCTGGTCGGGCTACATATTTTCACCAAATGTACTAGGTAGTTGACTGAAATTGGCAAATCATTGACTCGAAAAGTCCAAAATTCTTAGCATGATACTGAAAGCCCTTCAAGCTCTGGCCCTTCGGGCTGATGTAGAGATTTCCTACCTCCTCCCAGGCCTCTCCTCCTCCCCACCTGAAATTCCTATTCATCCTTTAAACCCCCCGAAGCATGGGTCACGGCTCTGCTGACCTTTCCTGCCATCCCTACGACCAAAACAATGCTTAGATTATTTGAAGATTTTTTGTTCCTTGCAGCCCATTTTGTTATTGGAACTATCATTCCACACTGTAATTACAATTATGTACTTCTCATGCTCCTGGAGCATTGGAGTACTCAATTTCTTCTGTAGGGTCAGGGGCTTCTGCTTATATATTGGCCATGCTTTCTTCAAAGAGGTATGAATGAGCTGCAACAGGTTCCCAACTTACTCTTCCTCTTATAAAAACGTCCAAGGTTTTAAGGGATAAGAAAAAGTTACCGATGAAGATCTGATCAGCTGGTAAGGACCAATAATACTGACACATACAAAGCCAAAGGCATCTGCCGTGCACTTGGTGGGACTCTGCAGCCTACACGTTCCAGGCAGTAAAATCCGTGTGACCAAAGGGTCTACACCTTCCCCCGAGGCTGCACTCTGCCTCTTTAGGAAAGAATGGGATTTGCAGAGTAGGAAAAGATTCCTATCACTTTAGATCAGGGTGGCTCTTTGTTTTCTCCAAATTCCTTCTAGATTGTCCAAAAAAAAACCGCTTGCATTCTTTTTTTTTTTTAACTTGCATTCTGAACAAACTTTTCTCAGCAGCCACCAACAAATGGATACCGCCCAACGCCTGCACTCTGGCGTAACTGAAGATATAATGACGACTATTTGACGCTGTCCTCTGCAGAACAGAAGTTATCTGCCCAGCCTGCCTCTGCCCCTGGCACTGACCGGCTACCTTGTGGCAGCTCTTGGTGAGAGATCTGCCTGGCAAGAGGTTTTAAAAAAAAAAAAAAAGGCAAAAATTAAGTGTTTTTCTTTATGGACATTGCATTTCCCTTATCCATACCTTCCTTATTATCCAGAATGATTGTAAACAGATCATAATGATGTCGATGAAGCCTAATTCTCCTGGGGCCAGCCCACACCATCTTACCTTGGTAATTTCTAACGAAGGGAGAGCTTCGGCCTCAGCCCGGACTTGGTCAAGTTTGTTTTCTGGCACGAAGAGCTCATGGATGCCTTTCATGATCGTGTGGGGTACAATGTTCTGAAAGGAAGCAGAATTGGTAACAATCTGAAATGAAAACTGTAAAAAGAATGCTTTGGTAAATAAATGACCTATCGTGACTTTATGCAATTAAAAAAAAAAAGTGCCCTGGTCCACCCACCTGCTCTTGTAGGAGCTCCACCACCTGCTGGACACAGTCACTCACTGAGGACAAGTTGGTTTTCAGCACCCGCTCGGGAGTTTCGGGTTTCTCATAATCAGAATCAATACCCGTGAACCCTGCAAGTCAGGAGGGTGAAAATCACATCGGCACCAACGGAACAGGCTTGCTAAACAGTACGGTTTAACCCGTGTTGGAATAATGCATTACATTGAGAATTCAGGTTAGACCAGAAAAGGTCATCAGCTGTCCCTGACCTCTAGGCATAGGTAAGTATATATTTGTATATATTTACCTAGCTGTATTTTCAGTATAGAAAGCCCCCAAATTATCAACAAAACGTGGCTAGGACCAAGCCCTCTGCAGCTGATTAGAATCCAAAAGGAAGACGAAAAGAAGAAGAAACGCTGGAACCCTCCCCTTAGACACACACTCGTGGATACACACCCACTTCAGGGACCTGAACTTGACTGCTTACGGCTGAGGTGACGGTTCTTGCAAAACACCAGCCCCCGTGTTAATGGGCCCGTGGACGTACTGAATATACCATGGTTCGATAAAAAGTTGTGTGTGCTAGATGCAATTGCGGAGAACAGTTCTTGAGACTTCAGACAGGTTTCTGGGGATGGAGCACGAAGGCTCGAGAGCAAAAGCTGCCGGCGCTCCTACCTTTGATCTCCCCGGCTCGGGCTCGCTTGTAGAGGCCCTTCACGTCTCTACTTTCACAGATGCTTAGAGGGGCATCCACAAAGATTTCAAAGAATGGCAGTCCTGCAGATTCATGGATTTTGCGGGCATTCTCACGATCCTGTGGGGGGGAACACATTCGAGAAGGTGAACAAGAGGTTTCGCAATGGAATTCTTCATCGTGGACTGGTGTGAGCTCTGGTGCTTGATAGCTTTGGGTTAACACGGCATGCGGGCTCTGCAGAGGTGGCAGGGAATCGGTCCTCTAGAGTGAAGTCCAGAAACATTCCCCTGGTGAGCACAGCTCTTTCAAGGGCTTTCAGAGAAAGCCACAGAGAAGAAATCTCTGCTGAAGGACAGGGCTGGCCACATGGGAGCATTTCATTCGTAGGGAGTGTTCAAAGCGCGTGGCATCCTATTTGTAGCTCCCAGAAATTTCCTGGTTTAGAACAAGAAGAGTGTCCCTCTTCCTCAGCGATTTCAACATTAAGCACACATGACCTGAGGCTTTGACAGTGAACTGCCATTTTCTTTAGCAAACTAAGCTTTCCAACTCTGGAGAGTGAGATTACAGGACTTTTCGACTTTTTCTTGTTTAACTTTTTCTTCCTTTCAACTCCGGCCAGAAGGTGAGTGTGGAAGGGTCTATGTCAGCTGGTGCCTGGGCATCTGGAAATGAAGGAGCTCTCTAGACAGGACCGATATTAAGTAGAGGAAATGAGGGAGCAAGGGAAGAAAAGGTGGGGGAAACTGAACCTACAACAGCCCTGGGTGCCCAGCCCTCACCGACTCCTTTTCCAGCCTTGTGTGTGCCGCCCCGTCCTTTTACCTTGGTGAAAGGAGAAATGAAGCTGGTGATGCAGACCAGACCAGCATCGGCAAACAGCCTGGCCACCTCGGCAATCCGGCGAATATTTTCTTCTCTGTCCCCGGGGGAGAATCCAAGGTTTTTGTTAAGGCCGTGACGTACATTGTCCCCATCGAGGGAGTAGCACGGGATGGCGTGAGAGACCAGGTACTCTTCCAGAGCAAAACTGATCGTGGTTTTTCCAGCACCGGAGAGACCTGTTCATTATAATCATTTGACCTCAAATCAAAACCACTACAATCTAGGAAAAGCATAGTTTACTGCAGGTCAAAGTACTTGCGTTTCTTCCAAACATCGAAATAACCATCTGTCCCCTATTAGAATTACAGCATTTCAAAGCAAGTGGGGTTCATAAGTAGGGAGACCTGGGGGTTGTACATGGTTCTTAGTGGGTTCTATTCTGCCTGCAGCGTGTTTTAAAGATGAGAACATTGTGCATACAAATCCAGATTCTAGCTTCTCTTGGAAAAAAAAAATCAGAAGATCTGGCAACCGTGTTCTCATGTCCCCTCCTGCCAGCAATCAGCGGGAGTGGAGAGGACAGTCAGTCCTGGAGACTGGGAGGCCCACCTCTCCTAGGGAGGCTGCTAAACAAACCATTTGACAATAGATCCCTTCGGCTTCAAGATTTTTCCAAAATGATTCTCAAAACATGAAGACAGTCATCCCGAGCTAGGCTACAGATGCGTTTAGAGCTGCCCTACACTCTTCGGGGTCTGGAGCCTTTCCATGAGAACAGAGTTACCATGTGCCTTTTATCATGGTTTCAAAGCGCATTGGTGGGGGACACGCTGTATGATTTCTATCTGAGGGAAATCATGAGGAGAAAGGGAGTGCTCCAAAAATCTAGTTGTCCTAAAGACCTCTGGACCTGAAAAACAGAGCACTGTGCCAAGCCTCTGTCGGGGAGTACCCAGGCGTGGGAGAGGAAAAGTTAGGGCGAAGAAAAGAAGGTCAAGAGCTTAACATGTAGAAGACGGCAGGAGGAAGGAGGGAAAAGACAAAAAAGGTAAGAGAAAAGCAGGGATGAAGGACAGAAGGGAATAAAGACTTGGAAAGAGGGGCTCCCAGCCAGCTCAGTCGGTGGCACATGCAACTCTTGATCTGGGGGTCATGAGTTCGAGCCCCACGTTGAGTGCAGAGATTACTAAAAAACAAATAAACTTTAAAAAAATGACTTGGAAAGAAAGGTGATGTACGAAAGGCAAACAGTTTCCACAGCGTTAGTTATGTTTTCAAGTCACACCCTTGGCCCTCACAGAGAATCACGAGAAGCAATGGCTCCATGAGGGATGTGCCGCCATCTTTGTAAATCATTGTTGAAGACACTATTACATTATTTGTGTGGCTCAGTTTCATTTGAACGGGGACCTAGGTGATAAATTCCTCTTAGAATTGTGTCCAGTGAGTTAGAAGAAACAGAATTCCTGAATCTCTGGCATGTTCTCTCACATTGGAAAATGAGGGAAATAATAGAGATTTCTTTCAGTTTTGCCTCAGGTCTCAAAACAAAGTGCTAAAGCACAATAACTGGATTAAACTAGACTGTTGGCATATTTATTTTAATGCACTGAGGTCGCACGAATTACACGTCCCAAGAGCTTTATTTCCTAAGGGCCAGGTGCTGTGCTGTCTACACATGCTTTATTTTATTTAGTCCTACCCCCATTCCCAGGGGCAGGTTCTATCCTTATCTCATTTCACAAATAAGAAAAGTGAGGCTTAGCCAGCTTAGTTGGCTTGTCCAAAATCACACAGTTAATGTAAGTGCAGCTGGGGGGGGCTCACAACCAAGTCTCTGGATGTGAAGTATTTGTTTCTCTTGGTCTGCCTGCACAATAGCCTATCTCTGTAACATAAGAATACAGAATAAATTGGGAAAAGATTTTTTTTTTTTTTATGAGTAAGAAAAGATAGGGGAAGTCCATCCCTTAGGGTCTTTTTCCTCTTCTACCAGTTACCTTTTGTTTTTAAGGCTGTCCCACATTATAGAAAGTGGACTCTGTGTTTGTCCCAATACAGAAATTGGACAAACCCATGAGCGCAAACACGTAACAAGAGGGAAGCTTCTGGAAGTCAGCTGTTTTATCTACTGCCACACAGCATGTCTCTTAGACGGAGTCGGGGGGATATCCCGACAGGATTCATGACAAGTGAACGCTGCCTTTTGGAAGATAGCAAGCTCCTCGCCCACCGTCTGTCCCCAGCCCACCAGCTGCAGAAAGGTGTTCCACCACGGATGAATGAAATCAGGAGACCAAAGGCAAGTGCCTCAGGCACCAGGAAAAACTTTGAAGAAGAAGGAGGAGGCTGATGGAGACAGGAACAGGAATGACTGAAGAGCAAGGGAAGGGGTAAGGCAGGTGCCGGCCTGCCACACTCTTCAGCATTCCCTTCAGGTTGGATTAATCAGCATTTGGGTTTTTTAGTTTTTGGTTTTTTTTTAAGATCTATTTATTTATTTGAGAGAGAGAGAAAGAAAGCAAGCAGGGGTTAGAAGGAGAGAGAAAGAGACAAGCAGACTCCGCACTGAGCATGGAGCCTGATCTCACGACTGCGAGGTCATGACCTGAGCCGAAATCAAGAGTCAATCACTTAACCCACTGAGCCACCCGGGCGCCCCAATAAATCGGAATTTATGAGCAGGCAGTACCACACAGTTGATCTCAGAACCTGGGTAAACATCTTTGCAACAGTTTGAAATACCGTGTCTATGGTATTTCCTTTTGAGTCCGGGCTACGCCAGACTTCTATTCCCAGGGATCAACTTCCTCTACCTTGTGCTCAGAGCCTAAGGGAACAGCCCCAGACTAATTCCTGTCCCATCACTAAGTCTTAGCTGTGACATTCTGAGGCTATAAAAACACAGGAAAAGGGAGAGATTCGTTTGGTCACCTCCGTGGGAGTGAATTATTTCTATTTACAAGAGACAATCCTCAGCTAAGTGGAAATCACTGGTTTTCCTTCCTGTGCGGATCCTTATGTTTTCAGTTTTCCGGGTTTTTTTTATATTAAGTGAAACAGTTCTCTTGGATGTTAAAACATCAGAAAACAATAAAGAATTCTCTAAACACCCAAAACCTTGTAGACAGCCAAATGCTCGCTGTCGAGTTAGGAAGGCTCCATCATGAGTACCAGTAAATGCATTTAGGCACGAGCATGAGAATGACGGGATCCCCTCAACCTGAAAGGGGGCGGGGGAGGCCATCGTCAACTTGCCCCTTTCCTGCCAAAGAGGAGAGAGGCAAGAACGCAAGAAGCCCCATGCCTCCATCTTGGGCCTTCTTCCCACTCATGGCAGCAGTAGGGGTGACGGCCAGGCTTTTTACCACTGCTCTCTGCCTCATCCCAGTGTTAAAGTAAACACATCATGTGTTACACTAAGTTCCTTAACATTGTATGTCACACATCAATTTTCAATTAAAACAAAAAAAGTATCAACATGGCATACCTGTCAGCCACACGGTACATCCTCTGAATCCGCCCCTCGTGCCAACCACCTGCCCTCTCTTGTTCCTGCTCACGTGGTGGGCCTGATAGACGACGTTGGTGGATTTCTGCTGGCTCTCCTACAAAACAAGACCAAGCCCAATACTGTGTGAATGAAATAACACAATAGGTATACCTAGAAGAATAATACAATATGTATACATATAATAATACAATAACTATACTTATAATATATATGATAATACAGTATGTATACAATAAGTATATATACACATATGTATACAGAAATAATAAAATAACAGAGGACAGTAATAGTCATCCCTAACCGAAACCCCTCTTTTATGATTGGCACACAGAGTGACATTTATTAATTCTACTAAATCAGAAAAAGACACTGCCTTTAGAACACCCATCATGACCCTCTGAAAGTATAATCTGAATGAGACAATTATTGACACGATGTAAAAGTTTGGGTTCTGTGACATTTAAAAATGTGCACCTTTAGGTAATGGTTAAGGGAATGTCTTTGTCTCCGTAAGTGCATGTTCTCTACCAGATCCTATGGAAGTCGACAGGAAACAACCCAGTTCATCCAGCCCCCGGGGAAGTCCTGGGGAGGGGCTGGTTGAGCCCCACTCTGTACGGAGCTGGGGAGAGGCACTGATCACAGAGCAAAGCACTGAGTCAGGGGCACCATCTTGGTCCCACACAGACATGTCTTTCAAGCACAGTCCCTGAGCGAGGTACGGCGCATGAGGCTACTTCTTCTCAAGCTCTACACTGTTTCCACTTTCCCAAGGGTCAGTGTGAACTTTTAATCTTTCAGAAAGGCCTGCAGAAATAGAAATGGGCCAGTTATTAGTCTTGGAGGCTAATGCGAATCTTAAATATCTTTATTTTGGCTGCAATAAAATCAGCCAGTAAGGGCAGAGATTATCTGATCCCGATCCTAAACTCTGGATGCTATGAGTCTGATGAATAAAAATGGTAACACAAGCCAATAAGTACAGTTGCTGGTGGACATTTCTAAAATAGCATGTGATCCCAGGGCAGGGGGTTGGGGGGTGTGGAGAACCCATCATGATGGTTAAATAAAAATGTTGGGAACAACTCCTATATGTCTTTGGTGTGGTAACTGAATTTCTGTTGACAGATGGAATCCAAGTCTCTGAACTGTAAAAATCTATGGAGCCTTTTAAATGACACACATGTAAATCCACCAGAGCTTAAAAAAAAAAAAAAAAGGCATCAATATTCTTTAAGCAAGACCCAGAGAAAACTCTGAGCCACATGTGGACCATTTTATATTCTGGAGCAAATTAAATCACTTCTTTATGGCACCTCATTTGGGAAAAAAAAAAAACAAAACACCAAAAAGGGGAATACAGCTAGGACTTTTTGGTGGCTTACAGGAGATAATGTGTGGGAACATACTCTGTAAAAGGCCAAGTTCTCTTCCCAAACGGATGCTGACGGTGACTAGTGAGTGTGTATACCCACAACAGGAGAGGCCGGGAAAATGGTTTCGAGAGCAAGGTGAAGGAGCCCCTTGCTGGCCGTTGGGGGCTCAGAAGGCGGCGCCCACCAGGGGGGCTGGACCTGCCAGGAGGGCCCGGAACCCAGCAGAAGCACAGCCCAGGCAGGAGACGGGCATTGCCAGGGTCCGACGGAGCCAAAAGGAAGGTGCTGAGGGCACAGGTGGGATCAGCTGGGCGAAGTTACATAAATCTTCTGAGGCTGGATGCACTGATCATCCTTCAGGCAAATGCGCTGATCATGCTTCCGTCAGAACCCAAGAAGCACTAGAAGCTTCATAAATGAGGTCAAATTAGATGAGCTCAGGAGGTATTCTAGCAGTATTCCCCCGGGCTGAACAAATCCCCTGAAGGGATCCCGAGTCCTTTGTGCCAAGTGTCATTTATAGCTCAAGGACAACAGTCACATTGCCTTTTTCTCTGTTTCCTTGTTAATCACTGCTTTTTATTCAAGGAAATTATGTCTGGATATCAGGCCCCAAAGTCAGTGCATCTGTTCATTCATGGGTTCTCTCAGCAAATGTTCATGTAAATGTGCCCCTACTACCTGCTAGGGACCATCCTAGGCACTGGGAATCTAGTGCTAAACCAAGAAGGATCCCCAGCATCACTTTGGGGGGAAATACAGGCAAAAAGATCAAGTAACTGGGGTCCCACGCCCTGTGCAGAGGGTCTCTTACACATACTTGTATACCATATGAAGATATATGTAAAGAACACCCGCAACTCAACAATGAGTAAAAAATCTGAACAGTCACTTCACCAAGGAAGATACACAAATGGCCAGAAAGCACATGACGGGCTCAGTGTCGTTAGTCATAAGAGAATGCAAATTAAAACCCACATGAGACGCCTTTGCTAAATCTAATGGCAACGAGGACATGCTCTCATGTTGACAGTGGAGGTATAAAGTGGGACAACCATCCCGGAGAGAAACCTGGCAGGTTCTTATAAAGCTAATCATTTACCTTCCCTGCAACTCAGCAGCTGCATACACAGGCATTTACTCAAGAGAAAATATATATCCGCAAAAAGATGCGTACAACTTTATCTGCACAAAAACCGCAAATAGCCAAGTAACCATCCACAGGAAAATAGATCACACACACACACACACACACACCCCAACCATGTCGGAACAGCAGTTGTCCTGAAAGGGTTTGAGGTACACAGGTGTTGGAACTCACCAGATGCATACTTAAGATGGGCATTTCGTTACATGTAAATTTTACCACACACCAAAAAAGAGCCATTAAAAAAAAAAAAAAAGTAAGCAAACAAGAGAATATATACCAAGACTCATATGGTGGAATTCTCTTGTTCAACCCTGCTGCCTTTTCCAAAAAAGGGCTCGGGTTCCAATCACAGCATACTTGACTTAAGGGGTGGCTGCTCACCTGGGCAACTGAACACCCACCAGAGCTTCATTTGTCCACAAAGATTGTTTTTTTCCTCTCTTTTGGCTGTCTTTCCCTCCCTCCAGGCAGAGATCCAGAATAAACTCTAAACTTTGTTAATCTGTGGAAACTTGTTAGGATCTTGTAAACTGCGTCCCCAACCAAGGGCTTGGTTTTCAAAAACTGTTCAGAATCCACAGGAAAGAACCACCACTATAGTGGTTAAGAGTTCACCTCTGAACTTTTTGGATTTTTATTAGCTGAATCTTCATCATGGGTGTTTGTACAGGATTTCTATCATTCCAGCAATGTTTAGACAAACAAAATCTTTTCAGATGGCCAGGTACTGGGCTTTTTTGTTCAGCAGAAAGTATTTTGCTTCTTTTTTTTTTTTTACGATTTTATTTATTTATTTGACACAGGGGGTGGGAGCGGAGGGAGAGAGCAAGCACAAGCAGGGGGAATGGCAGGCAGGGGAGAAGCAGGCTCCCCTCAGAGCAGGGACCCTGATGCAGGACTGAATCCCAGGACCCTGAGATCATGACCTGAGCCAAAGGTAGATGCTTAACCGACTGAGCCACCCAGGGCACCCCAGTATTTTGCTTCTTATTTATCTTATATTTACCTTTGATTTTCTCCAAAGGCAAACAAAATAGAAGCAGGTATTTTGAATGATATTTGAACTGCAAAGAGGCAGGGCAGCCAAAAACTTTGCTTTGCTTTGCTGAAACCTTTACTGCCTTCTAAAGAGCATATGGTGTTCTAAGCATTGGAATGAGAGTGGCTGTCAGAAAAAGAATTCTCTCTATGGAAAACAAAACACATGTTAAAGAAAAAAAAAAGGTTTGCTTCCCTGTGTGTATAAACGGAACACACATCCTCAGCACCGCACCTCACACTGTCACTTGGTGGAAACCACAGAGTTGGTGGCATCTTCTATTCCGGGTGTCTAAATAAAATATGGCAAACATCCCTACCTTTTTCCAGGTCACTGACCCAGAAAAACTCCCTCCAGCATGCATAAGAGTAGCATGAGTATGGGTTTTGAGTCAAGCAAATCTGGATTTGAAACCTGCCTCGTGGCCTCCTGGGCAAGTCAGTAACATCCCTGAGCCTCCAGTCCTGCTCTGTAAAACGGGGCCAAGTATAGTTTCCTCATACGGTGGCCAAAAGGACGAAATAAAATGGTCTTCTACATAAAGTATCAAAGGTGAACCTTACGGGCCCTGGTGGCATTTAATCTAGCCCGGGGAAATCCTGGTCGTTTGTCTAAATCACCCAGATCGAGAAGCATCCTAGGGACTTGGGTCTGCTCTCAGGCAGGTCTGGGCAGGTGGGGCTCAGGAGCAGATCAGGCAACAGGCAGCACAGTACTGTGCCTGGGGTGAAGAGTTACACACACATCATGTCCTTGCCACTGCGGCTCCAGTGATTCTTCTCTTTGACCCCAAAGTCCAGCCAGGAAATACACCGTTCCGAGGTCTACTCACCAGTTAACTGGCCTGCAGCCTCCCTGTACCCCAGACTCCCCGCTCCCATGCTGGCCGTCTTGGTCATGAGCCCTCAGTTACCAGCACAGGATGGCCTTTGGCCCAGGTCAGCCTCCCATGCTACTGGGGGGGAGGGAGGGGAACCTTGCCACACAGCCCCCTCCCCGGGGTTGCAGGGCTACCCCTGCCAGGCCCACCCCCCCAGTCCCATTGGCGCTGCAGGAGGGGAGGGGGGTGCCCAAGGAGCTTCTGGAACTCTGGGTAGGGTGGGCTAGGTGATGGCAGAAAGCCTCAGCCTTGACTTTGCGTGACTGGGAGAAAGGGAAAAGACGTGGGATGGTATCACGGCCGGGCGGGGCCTCCCGGAGCCCAGTCCAAGCCATGTGTCACTGGGAGCCTGTTGTGAAAGGCAGGGCTCCGTCGGAACCAGGAAGCAGGAAACCATATGCAAGGTTAGGGGTTTCCCTGTGCTCCAAGGCTTTTTTGACTTTTGCATAAAAGCAAGTGGATTTGAATTCGTCTACACCCTCCTGCCTCCCACGCAGCACAAACACAAACTGCAACTCCACTCTGTCCCTTTGAACTCAACGCTCACTGCTGAGCTGTTGGTGTCCCTGGTCTGTCGGGGACCCCTCCCTGAGTCTGTTCAAGATGCTTTTTCTAGTACCGCAGGCTACCAGGAGCGGCATTTCTCATG